TGTGTGTGTGTGTGTTAGTTGTTGTGTGTACTGTGTTGTGTGTGTGTATTGTGTGTGTGTTGTGTGTGTGCATATATATATATATATATATATATACGAATACCTCCCAATACAAAACTGACACGCACGAGTATGCAGTGCAAAAATATGCACACACGTTTGTATATTCTAACACTAGTCTATACGTTTGTAAGCACATATGTATTTCAGCAGATATGTGCATATGTTTCGTATACATTAGAGACATATATGTGTGCACTTCGCTTTTTTCTGCAACTTTGCTGACTGAAAACATCCGTATGTATATACGCCGGTTAGTGAGCACAGTATTTCCTTTTTGTCTATTGTTGCGACAAGCGTCCAAAAATGGTTGCGTGTTGGTGAGCCGACACCCAACCCAACTAGTACAAAATCTGTTACGCACCTCACCAGTATGCACAAGAGGAGGCAGGCATTCCAGTTCCTTTAAAACGTTTTCCAATTTCTGCTGGTCGGGGTATTCTGGCTGCTGCTTGGCCACCTTGTCCTTGTATGAATGCACAGACCAGTTGTCGGACGTGTGCTTAGACTTTTTGGTCTCCATGTCGATTGCAGTGGCGCTAATTCTTTTCGTCATTTTTCTGTTCTAATAAGCCTTTTGTCCGTTAATATCTAATGTTATTCTCTCGAAAGCCTTTTAAAAAGAAGTGATAACATGGATGTTTTACATCACTTTTAGCTCAAAATATAGGTCATTATCACCATTATATGTATCGCACACTCTTTCTCTCTGGAAATAAACTCTCATGATATTTACTAAAAAACAAACATGTCGCCGTGGTCACGTCGTGTCAAATTGTGAACGCGTGTGTTCATTCTCTCCTCTCTAGACGCTTTTTTCCCCACAAAAAAAAAATTGCCTCTTTTGACTTTTGTGTCCAGCTTTTAGAGTCTTCTTATTTATTTATTAATTTAAAAAAAAAGTGTCTAAATACCTCTTTAAAAAAAAGTCCAGTTTTGATTTGGGGGACCCGGATGTTAGAAATAGGTCCTTCTTACTATTTCTACAGTACATACAGTCGTCAGGCATCAGTTATAGGGACTAATTCTGTACTTTCACAAAGACTGTTTAATTTAAAAAAGGGTAAGGTCCTACTGTACTGGAATATTCAGTATGGCCATGTTCATGTTGTAACGTGGTGTATGATAAAAATCCTTGTGTAGGGTTCTCATGAACAGGGAAAACCAGGTTTATCCTCCTGTCGGAGAGAAGGTGAGCTTCGGATTGAATGAAATCTGCTGCACGGAGTTTGGAAGCTAGGTCCTGATTCCATAAACGGTCAGCCTGTTTAAGGTCGTAGAGGTCTTTATTGAATTTCAAAACATGGTCGGCGGGGTAGTGGTCCAACTCGACAGAGCCCTTAAGAGGAAACATGTAGATATACGGGTGTATCTAATTTACTGTACAGATAAGCGGAGGTGACACACATCGAAATGATAAACCTTCTTGCGTTGAAAGGCCGCCGTGGCAAAGAAGAGTCGGAAGGCAGCGGCTGGGGCAGCGGGTGCGTACGCAAACAAGTTTTGTATTTTCCCAAATACAGTCAACAGATGCTTGTTTTATACAATAAGTTTCACACTAAAGTATCAGTTTCTGATATATATTTTATACGCTTGCATTTGGGAAGTGAATGTGTGATCAACAAGAGCGATCAGCTGATCGAGAGGACGCGATGATAACCATGTAGGGACCGTGCTGAGTTTTTTTGGAAGAGAGATGGCTGAGTTAATCGGACGAACCTTTGCAATGAGGGAGTAAACCCATAATGGTTTTCCGACCGTGGTGGAATCATGGCGAAAAAAAGAGTAGTAGTGTAAACCGTTATGGACTCCAGTAGCTAGAGTAAATTGACTAATTAAATTAAAACGCAAGTGAATAAATGTAAGTTAGCTTACAAGTCCGGTTGCTAATACTTGTTACTTTAGAGTAACAGTAAAAGACTGAGCACCCGACTTTTATAGGCCGCCAAGTCATCATTGATATCTTATTTTAAAAAAGGATTTCTAAAAATCTACTAAAGATTCAATTCTTTTGGCGCCTTTTTAATATCTCTTAAGAAATATTAATTTCTAATAATAGATTCATCCAATTAATATTTTTAGAACCGAATTTAAATGGCCACTTAAGAAAAACAAAAATAAAAAATAAAAATAGACAGGGCCCTAGGGGTCGGCCTGAGGTTGGTGTTATAAATAATTAAATATTTTAGTTTGTTAAAACAAACTAAGTTTATTAATTATTAGTTTATAAAAACCTTAGTTTATCTTTTAAAAAAGGAAACCTAAATATCCTTCAACCTTTATACTTTGAGCCATCTCATATAGTATTTTTTATAAAGGAAAACTATTTATTATATGTAACTCAAATTATATATAATTCATGTATTCGAGGAGCTCTAATGTATCTGACCAAGTTTGGTTGGCATAAGTCCATTCCATGAGAAGGTCTATCTTCCTCCAGTCTGTGGCGACTCCACCACCAGGGGAACTAGCATATCGAGGGAGTTGAGCAGTTTTTTTAGAGGCACAAAAGGTTTCCCTTGTACCTTAAGTAGATGTTGTAGCCTCCTTCTTGTAGATTGTTTTGTGAGAGCAATTGTTGTTTCACTGTTGGGCTGATATAAGTAGTACCCAGTTGTTGTAAGTGGCCGCGTTCGTTGACGATGTATTCGCTATCGTCTGCAAGAAGAAGTGGGAAATTGTCTATCTTGATATTGTTGAGTAAGTGTCATGAATTGAGATGAAGTACGTTGACCTCGGCGCCGCCATTGATAAGTAAATAATATTAGTATGATGCAGTGCCTTGATTCTAGGTCGTAAGGATGCTAAATTTGGACCAATATATTTATTATTTATTTATTATACGTTTGTTATATACCTCCTGGACATGGCTGGTGCGATTTCAAGTAGTACAGTTCCTGTTGGTCGCGACGCAAGACACCCCTTTGTGTTCCTTTGCCCTACATTTACCGCAGCCTTTTGAGCAGTTGTTAGAACGGTGGCCTATGGTATAACACACAAAGCACGGTATGAATGTGCGTGTGTTAGGGGTTCCTTTAGCTTGTTCAAGTTGATCCATCCGCTTTAAAAAGGTAGATAATGAATCGACCGTTGTTAAGGGTGATTTAGAGGCTAATGTGGTTGATACAGTAGCAGTCATAAGAGTAGCATTTTCGTGGACTAGAGGGGTTACTTTGATCCATTTCTTCAGCCTAACACATAAGTCTACGGGGGAGGGGGGGTAGAGTGTCACGATCCGGATTGTTTACCAAGTAGTGTCTGATGATATATTTATCCGGGTCGCCCAGTCCAGAGATAAGCATGCCTTGCATGAATGTCGGGGAAAACCTAGTGCCCTGAGACTTCGCGTCAGATCAGATTCGGACACATCTTTCGGACCATGTACGTATGGAATCATCGTTAGTTCGATGAAATTCTTGTAGGAAATTAAGTGTTATTGTGTTCGAGACAATGGTGGATATGTGTGAGTAAGATTTCTTCAAGTAGAATAGTAAAGGCCAGAGGTCATTCATGAGTTCTTCGCGAGTAAGGAAGTCCATAGCTTCTTCGCTGAGTGACCGAAGAAGGCATCGTCTGCCTCTCTAGTAACGTCCATCTGCTTTGACGATCTTGATGGAGGTCTCTCGAGATTCAAGTCGCCCGCGATCAGTAGCTGGGGTTCGTTGAGCTGTGGGCGTCGCTGCGGTGCGGCCTAAGAGTTCCGGTTTGACATAGTTTTAGCTAAGGACCGATTCGATGTCGTCTACGTAGTCTGTGTTGGCTGCAAGTGTGAGATGCTGGAGCCGTTTGTCGTAGTTGTCTCCTGTTATGGTCAGGCGTGTCCACTTTAGTTTGGAAGTGGGTTCTGAAACATTCATGATGAGATATACTTAATAATTGATACAAGTGTTTAGTTAAAAAAAAAGCCCATAACCTGTAGGAGCCAAATAAAGTTATCAATCTGAATAACTAGTTTATTTGGTTGATGTCAGACTTATTTTAGAAGTCCTAAGGATGTCAGACTTATTATCTCTTGTTGGGAACATTCTGAAAAATGTTCCAGCCCTGACCAATCAAATTTTCTTGATGCTATATAAGAACTGGAAAAATGTTCCTCGAAATAGCCAGTTTTTGGCGCAATTTGACAAAATGTTCATCAAAAAGTCCAGTTTTTGATTTTTTTTATGTTCAATATCAATTTGTACAAGCCGACTTGGAAAAAGTCAAAAAAAAGCCTGTTTCTAAAATACACGGGCAAAAATACTACACAAACAAAACAAAATTGTTTATGTTCACTGTTTAGGGGAGTTTATGATACACACCGAACTCTATTGACTGTGACTCTACTAGTGCTTAGCTTCTTCACTACGGTGTATGCTTACACGTTATCAACAACATGGCTGTCGATTCTGGCTCCTTCGATCCTGGTACGGGCGATGAAGCTGGAGTAACAGATGTCAAATTTGACTTGAAAAAAAATTCTGCCTTGCTGCCAAAGATGCGCGGACCGAAATCAAATAGTGGGACCATCGAGATTGTGAACGATAGCGACACGGCAAGAGACGTACTGATAAGAATAGCAAAGAAAGCGCTGCAGAAAAACTCAGTTAGATACAATTACAAAGTTGCCACGCCTATGACCCATATATTCTAGAAGAAAAAGCCCGTTATACACCAACGAACTCTATATATATATATGAACACACACACACACACATGCACACTCACACAAGCACGTGTGCACACGCGCACACATACACACATGCACACACGCACACACATATATATATATAGAACAAAAATACATATATTTATAGAAACACGCATAGTAAATACGAAACACAC